TAATAACTAATGGAATTAATTAAATAATTATTTTAAAAAGAATCATGGAGGTGTAACTAGGAACAAGAGAGGCGATGTTCTTACTATCAAGGATGAGAAGAAGGAGGGAAAAAAACGGAGGAGGAGGTGGCTGAGATGAGAGAATGCAGAAAGGGCTTGAGTAAACAGCTTTATTTCTTTTTTTAAAGAATCTTTAAATTTAACTTTATTTATATATTTTAATTTCACCAGAGAAGGACAGAGCGAGCAAGCAAACAAGGGTAAGAGAGAGAAAGTGAGAAAGCAAGCCTCCAGGTCTGGGACTCGAACCACAGTCAGCCATGTGGGAGTCCAGCGCCCTTAACCACCACACCACCTGACGGCCCCATAAACAGCCTTATTTAAGACAGGAATGGGGCCAGTCAATGATATGGTGGTTAGGGCACTGGATCCCAGTGGCCAACTGCACAGTTCAAATCCCAGATTAGGCAGTTTAAAAAATCATGCCAGGCATGTGTGTGTGTGTGTGTGTGTGTGTGCGTGTGTGTGTGTGTGTGCCCAAAATCCTGAGAGGAAGGAATGGAAAAGAAGAGATTGCAGTGTGGTCATACTCCCTAAGGAATACTTTCTCTTTCTCTGTCTTTTTCCAGCAAATGCATATGCCCTATTTAAAAAAAAAAAAAAATACAGCCAGGTTTGGGGAAACAGGTAAAAAAAGATGTGGCCAGAGAGACAGACTGGACATTAGACAATAGGTGAAAATATTTCTGATCGTCATGACTGGGAAGCAGTTTTAGCAACTGATGGGTTAAGGCCAGGGGATACAGCTCGGTCCTCTTGCAATGCTTAGGACAGCCCTACCCCAGGAATAATGGCCCCCAAAATCCCTAAAGCTGAGGTTGGGAAACCCTGCCCTAAGCGTACATTGGCAAGCATTGCCTGTGGCCTGGCTGAGCCCTCACCCCAGTCTCTGAGTAGAGAGCTGGCCCCACCGGAGTTCTCCAAAGTGCCAGAAAGCTAGCTAGTCTTCTCTCTCTCTCTGGAGCTGTATGTTTGTTACAGACGACACTGTTAGGTTTTCTGCTGGTGAATCAATGCCTGGGAGATTTAAACTCTCCCTCCCTGCCATCCTCCCAGACCCACAATGCTTTTTTTCTGTATTTTCTCTCCCTTCCTTCCTTTCTTTTTTCTCTTTTTCCTTTCTCGTATTTTCGCTTTCTGTCCTTCTGTCTTTTCCTTCTCTCTTGCTTGCTTTCTTCTTTTTAAAATTTGCCATACGGAGTGCGTGCTCACCAGACAGACAGAGAGACAGAAAACGAAAAATCACCCGCCAGGGGGGATGGCCACACCGCAATCCCTTCTCCTCCATTCTCCTCTCAGAATCTTGGGCATGCACACACATGCGCCCGCGTGAGTTTTAAGCCACCGGGTCCAGGATGTGAACCGCAGTCGAACTACATGGGAGTCCAGCGACATAGCCATTACGCCAACTGCTGGTCCCCATATAGTATTTTTTTTTTTTAAGTCAGGAAAATAGTAGATAATAATCAAATCAAGGATAGACTCCTATGCATCTTACATTGCTTAACTAGAAAAACGATGATTAGGGTCAGCATGTGGTGTGGTGAAGGTGCTGGCCTCCCACATGGTTGGCCGCAGTTCAAGTCCTAGACCTGGAGGCTTGAGGATCATGTTGGGTAGGTGTGCATGTGTGCCCAAAAGTCCCAGCAGGAGAATGGAGAAGGGATTGTGGTGTGGCCATCCCCCCTAGGGGATGATTTCTCCCTTTCTGTCTCTCTGTCTCTCTCTGTCTTTTTGGAGAGCGCACACACCCTATAGCAAAAACCTCTCAAAAAAGAAAGAAAGATAGAAAGAAAGAAAGAAAGAAAGAAAGAAAGAAAGAAAGAAAGAAAGAGAAAAGAAAAGAAAAGAAAAGAAAAGAAAAGAAAAGAAAAGAAAAGAAAAGAAAAGAAAAGAAAAGAAAAGAAAAGAAAAGAAGGTAGAGAAACACCCCAGCCCAAGGATTAATAGCCGTGGGTAGGAACATCTCCTAGGGTCTGAAGGTGTGGGAAGAATAGGTTT